ATATATATATATAATATGCAGTACTAGGCTACATATAGTCTTGTCCTGTTCTTGATCCACTACTCGCCATCTGCTGTAGATATTCTTAGCTCTTTTCTTTAACAGATTTCTGTTTCAAACTTGACCTGGATGTAATACAAGCTGCCAGCACACATACCCAGAGAAGAATAAGGACAGCTGTGCGATATTAAAAATGACCTCATTTATTTACAGTCAGCAGGACAAAAAAGGCATTCTATATAGCTTAAGATGCTTGGCACAGTATTTTGGAGATTGCACACTAGTTTGTATTGCCTTTCACTTACAAAAACATACACAATTGTATGCAGATCTAAAAGCAAAACCAGGCAGAATGATTGGGAAAAAAATGGCATTTGGTAGTTAAATCTTTTACGCAACAAAACAATTGGACAAATACTTTTGTTCTTATGCACCAAAAGGCATTTGATGAAGATGCTTGTATTGCTGTTTAGAGACAACTTGAGCAATAATGTAACAGTTTTTAAATACAGTTTTGGTTCTGTGCACTCTGCCAGTAGCATGGCATGTTGTTTGCAGAGCCGCAGCGTATTGTGCTTCAGTTTAGACATAAAAACAATGTTTCATGAAAACCAGCGCATTCACAGGTTCACAGCTCATCATGGACAGTGAGTGACATTTCAAATTGGGCCATCCGAATGATTTCAGTCATTCTTTTTGTCAGGGTTGAGTGATTCAATGATTGGGTGCACAAGTTTAAATGTATAGGGGCTTTTCTCTAATCCACATAGGGTCAAAAATCTACATACAGGCTCACATATATACACAAATTCACCTTTAAAAAACAAAAGTCATGACAAGGCTACGGCCTAATTAGAGATCATGATTGACTTCAGTTGGTAGTTTCTCTTTGCCATCATAAAAATGATTTGTTTCACAGCACTTATTACTGCAGTTAGAGAGGACATGGAGGTAGTTGGAGTGAGGACAGAGGATGCAGAGGACAGAGTGAGATGGAGGAGGATGACTCACTGTGGTGACCCCTGAAGAGAGAAAAGCCGAAAGAAGAAGTTTGACAGTCAGCAATACTCACCTGTGATCCTGAAACAGATTGTTCAAACCTGCCACAAACAAACTGCTGCAACACCGTCCACAGAGGAAAGAGTTTACCATCTGAGCAAGTGCCAGCCAAGAAAGCAGCCCCAGATCCAAAAGTGACACCGTCAAGCTCAGTTGAACAGGCCAAAGGCCTTCTGGAGTATTGACAAGAAGTACATTAGCAGGAGTCAAGGTGAGGATTTCAAACCTAAAAACATGGCGTCAGGCATGGCAGTGGCAGCAACATGCTGTGGTCTTTGTGCACAAAGTGGATGAAATAGTGAATAAGGAGACACTCAGACCAAACATCAGATACACATTAATGGTTTCTGATTGAATGAAGCAGGCTAACATTTGGTTTATGGAATTACCTTTTCAAACAATTTTCACCAGATTAAAAAAACGGGGACTATGCCAGATTTGTTCCATAAAAAAACAGCCAATTTAAATAAACTCCTTTTTGCCAAGAAATGTGATTTAAAAAAAAATCCAGAGTTATTCCAGATGCTTGGTGATGGAAACAAAAAGCTTGTCCAGGCATTACTTTAACTATTGAACCAAACGAGTGGAGCCGCGTGTGGACATCTGAGCTTATTCAGTCTTATGCACCCACTTCTTGTTTTTGGAAATCACCAAAGTATTATGCCATCCTGAATAAAGACTGTTTCAAATCTATTATTCAAAGCTCTAGATTAAAACATGGCCATGATGAGAGGATGTCAACTTCTGCCTGCAGCTGTGTTCAGACAGGTGAGGTGTGGTCATGTGTTTATTGGTCTCAGTGGCGTGGATGAGTGCGGTAGTACGTGTGCTTCGTGGCGGGACTCATGATGTTCTCTGTGATGTAGGCCACCAGCAGACAAATGATCACCAGCATCACGCAGATGGCTCCGCCCACCGTTGTCATGGCGATCACGATGTCCTGCATCCCAGACGTCGGCAGCGTGAACTCCACGCAGTCCGCGGGCCTCTGGTCGGGCTCGGGGCGGGTTAGGGGACGCAGACAGATCCGGTATGGGATGTTCTCGTGCAGCTCGGACAACAAGAAGTCCCTGCAGCCCGAGCCCAGGTGGACGCTCGCGCACTCGAACTGGGTGTAGCTTCCGTTCCACCAGCAGCTCAGCTCGTAGCCTCCACGTCTGTGGCTCCGGTCCCTGAAAACACTGCTGGACCGGGTTGAACCGGGGCCGGGGCCCGCGCCGGGGGGCTTCTCATCCCGGCTCGTCTGCTTGGAGTCCCCCTCGTGCGTCCACTGTAACAGCACGCTGCCATTGGTGAGCACGTTGGCCACCAGAGTCCCCAAAGACACCTGCGTCCTGCAGTCCTCTGTGAGACACTTGTACCCGAAGAGCGTGCGTCTGAAGCAAAGCTGACCGGAAATGCCCCCCTCGATCACTCTGTAGGCACAGACTGGTGACACCCCTTCATCTGGACCCAGTCCACCCCCCTCTGACACGAAAGTAGAATGACTGCCGTGGTTGTGGCCTGTTATCTGTTTATTCTTTGCTGATGGATCTCCATGACTGCTGTTCCTGCCTCTCAGCTCTGATGATGCTGATGATGAGCTGCGTGTGAACGTGCAGAGCAGGAGAGCCGACAGGGCGAGCAGCGATGGCGCGTGCCGGTGTGTCATCTCCTCTTCTGCTCGGATTATTCCTGCTCACAGTGGATCAGATGATGGGCTGGTGCCTGCCATGAGATCAGCTCTTCCTCCCGCGTGAAATCCACCTGCAGAAATAACATCATCCTAAGAGGGGAAAAGAGACTCGTGCGCGCGACTAAACCTGCAAATTCAAATAATTAAAGCAAGCATTAAAAAATAAACTTACATGTTTCTGCAGGAGAGAGAGAGAGAGAGAGAGCCCGGCTGTCGTGCAGTCAGGTTTGCTTTTTTCATCCCCTTCTTCTTCCTGTCTGCCTTGACGTAAAGAAAGAAGGCTCAGCTGTGAGAGTGCACGTGGAAGAGGAAAAAGTGCGCGCTGCAGAGTGCCCGGGTGCGCGCGCACATTTGTAGTCATGAGCAGTGGGTTCTTGTTCCCACTCAGAGCTCCAGGTGTGTCAGAAACAACCAGAGAGGGTTGAAACTACCTCCTATAACTCATTTTTGTTTTATCGTTACTGTTGTAAAAATAAAAAGTTTATTAACATTAAAATAAGACATCTAATGAGAAGAACTGATTTAACCTCACCCCCAACTCCCACCTACCACCTACCCCTGAGCCTGATTTAATGATGTTCTCCAGCTATCTATCTATCTATCTATCTATCTATCTATCTATCTATCTATCTATCTATCTATCTATCTATCTATCTATCTATCTATCTATCTATCTGTATGTGTGTGTGTATGCCGGTATATAACTTAATAACTTTTATGTTCATTATCCGTATGTCCCACCACGCTCCCTGAGGTCAGCGGACCAGTTGCTCCTCACAGTTCCAGGAACTTGTCTTAAGCGCAGAGGGGACAGGGCTTTCTCTGTAGCAGGACCAAGACTTTGGAACGAGTTACCTCTGTTTGTCAGACAGGCCCCCCTCCCTCTCGGTTTTCAAGTCCCGTTTAAAAACCCACTACTATTCGGTGGCTTTCAACACCAGATGATCCGTGTTTTGAACCTGTATGCTCCACACTGGTTTGTCGTCATTATCTGCATCGTTTTTATGTCTATATTTATGATTTACTTCATTTTGTATTGTGCTTTGTGTGTTACCTGTTGTTCTGTCTGTACAGCACTTTGGTTGGCCTTGTTGCTGTTTTAAGTGCTCTATAAATAAAATGGTATGGTATTATCAAGCTCCTCTGCTGTGGGATCAACTTCCTGTTTGTCCATCCATCCATCATCTTTACCCACTTCTTGCTTTTCCGGTCACAGCAGTCACTGATGTCCGTATCCAGCAGTTACTGTGCGAGAGGCGGGGGACACCCTGGACAGGTCTCCGGTCCATCACAGGGACACATAGAGACAAACGAGACAAACAACCATTCGCTCTCTTACTCACACCCAGAGGCAATTTAGAGTTACCAATCAGCCTAACATGCATGTTTTTGGTCTGTGGGAGGAAACTGGAGTGCCCAGAGAAAACCCACACATGCAGGGAGAGAACATGCAAACTCCACCCAGAAAAGCCCCCAACGGGGATTTGAGCCGGCAACCTTCTTGCTGAGAGGCAACAGTTCTACTAACTGAGCTACTGCCTGTTTCTGTTCTTCATTGGATATTTTAACAGTTAAGGTGGATTCCAAAAGGCAATGTTGAAGTTCTCAGCACAGGTCTTGCAGTTTTTCATCCGAGACAAGCAGAGGTTGTGGTTTTTGGAAAATCAACTAATTTGTTCCTATAAAGTGGTGCAACGTGATACAACTAATCTGTTAACAGGCGTCAAATTATCTTTTTCCACTGAATGATGATAAACTGATGAAGAAACTTTTTTTATTAATTTCTAAACTGATGTGTAAAACTGATCAACCATTTAGGTACAGTTACTCTGTAAAATGTTAGAAAATAAAGCTTCATAACGTTTGTTATTAATAATCTTTAAAGTGCATTGCTTAAATCAGATCATAGTTGTGATTGTTCCATGATGTTTCATGATTTCCCAAGAGGCAAAGTTGGAAATAATTAGCATCGAGGGAGAACATATAAGACTGATTAAAGATGTAAAACATGCTGACTTCATCCGTCATGGAAAAAGTTTACAGGTTCACTGGTTAAATCGATGATTCATTGGATGTATGACTACATGATACCACTTGTTATTAATTATCCCGCTCGTTGATCAGAACAGTTTTGAACACGTTGATCTTTGCGTCAGCAGCCAATCTGTGCCAACAGACAAAAACACGTAACGTGCCGACCCGTTTGGTTAAACTGACCGTGAGCCCGGTCAGCAAACATCTGTTCACGTGTGCTAAATCTCTTTATTTGTCTGTATGTGCACGAATAAAACACAGTGAAGCGCAGCCGGTGGTGCTTGCGAAGCCTCGGCGTCGTACTCCAACATTCATGTTTGACCCAAAGAAACAGAAATATTCCTGTAGAGGAAGGCGCCATGCCAGAGGATCTTATTGCCGACGCCATTTTACTTGGGCTGCTGGTCTTTTCTGGTATTCTGGGAAACATCTTGGTCATCCACGTGGTGAGGAAACACTTTATACTTTTTATTTATTTACCTGTTAAAGGGAAAGTTTGGCCATTTTCGACGTGATGTTTTGTCGAATTGTTACCAACCGTTAGTACCTTTGCAGGTGTGACATCGTGTCTTTGTCCATACTAGATGAAGCGACGGCTTGTTTAGCATTCTTCAGGCTAACAACTATCAAAAATCGTATAATGGTGTCAAAGAGTGTGACATTACCTAATATTAAACCTCTACACTTTTCCACAACACTGTTTGTTTAGTCTGTCGCTGTTTTTTCAACCTAAAATCTTTTTTCCAACCCGAGCATAGATGCTGTATATAACAATGTTAGGGCTGAGGCTGCTGAGGGCATCGGTCCATCTGATCGGTATATTCGCCCCGTCAAAAGTTTCTTCAGCTGATAGCTTCAGCAGCGTCAGGACATTATCGATCGATGCTCTGCACACGTGGTCATGTAGCAACACGACATGTTTGGTTGAGGAAAACAGCAAGAAACTAAGCTAACAGGTGCAGAAGTTTGACATTAGCTAATGAGGCATTTGTTTACAATAATTGGACATTTTTGATAAATAAATGTCTTATAAACCAGAACAGGTCCCTCATAAGGCTAGCCATTAGTCTGGAAGCAGACTTTTGCTTCCTTCTCCTTTGTGATCTACGACTGATGTCACTCTGACAAGATACTAAAAATTCAGAACTATTTGACGAAACATCGCCTCCAAAATGACTTTTAAGTGAAGATGTTTGGTGATGGATTGACCTCAGTCTGCCTCGTTTCAGGTGGTCCAGTCTGCCTTAGAGAGCCCTTCTCGAAGACTCCCACCCTCTGACACCATTTTAGCCCACCTGTCTCTGGCCAACCTGCTGACCTCACTTTTCCGCACGGTGCCGATTTTCGTGTCGGACCTGGGCCTGGATCTGTCTCTGTCTACGGAATGGTGCCGGGTCTTCATGCTGCTGTGGATGTGGTGGCGAGCCGTAGGCTGTTGGATGACTCTAACGCTCAGCGTCTTCCACCTCACCACCTTGAGGCGGCAGCATGTCAACTTTGGCCCTCTGGCGCTGCAGAGGGAGAGGCGGCGGGTGTGGATTGCGATGGGATTGGTTTGGGGAGCAAACCTGGTCTTTTCCACGCCTGCGTTGGTGTACAGCTCTCACGTTCACGGCAACGCCACCGTGGAGCTGATGGTGATAAGCTGCACCCCTCGGCCTCTGTTAGGCTGCGTCTGGAAGTTCCCTTCTGCCCAGCAGGGCTCGGCCTTCGCCTCCACTTCGCTCGCTCTCAATGAGATCCTGCCTCTGATGCTGATGGTTTTCTCTAACTTGAGCACTCTTCAGACTCTGATCAAGCACATCCGAGCTGTGACCTCGGGGCCAGGGTTAGGAGGAAGTCACGGAGAGCTGGACAAACACGTGTCCACTGAGCGCAAGGCAGCGCACGTGATCATGGCGCTGGTGATGCTGTTTGTGGTCTGCTGGGTCCTGCAGGTTGCTGCAGTGACTTACTACAACTACGACGGGGGGCGCCACGCCAAAGCGCTGCTGACCGTGGCCCATTTCTCTGCTTCTTTGTTTGTAGGCTTCAGTCCCCTGGTGGTGGCTCTGGGACATGGGAAGCTGAGGAGGAAAATCAAGAGTATGATTCTGGTGTGCATGAAAGTTTTGAAATGTTACACCGAGGAGACCGGAGACGGGGGCAAATCCACAAAGACTGAGGATAAACCAACGGTTTCTGTTGTCAGCAACGAGGTGAAGGTTATAACGCTTAAATCAAACAGCTGATAATAAAAAGCTGAATGGACACGTCCATTGAAATGTTTAGTTATTTAGTTCATCTGAGATATCTTAACTTGAATAATAAAAGTTGTTTTTCCTATAATTTGTTCAAGGTGTTAATAAAATAAATCAACTTTAAAAGTTTTGGAAGAGGTTGTTTTGCTCAAAATAAAATCAAGACAATGCTTTAAATAAACTGTATTTAGTTTTCCCTCAAATATTCATTAATAATCCTTCAAATTACAGGACGGTGGTTTATTATTGGGTTTGTTTTGATCATCAGCAGGGTGTGCCGTCACCCCTCGCCTGACTCAGTAGGTGAGTGTTGATTTGATGCAGGTACGCAGACCCCTGTGTCCGAATGCCAGAACAACAGGTGACCAGGCAATGAAGAAGGTGTTGGCAAAGCGAGAGATGACCAGGAGGAAGTCTGCTGAGGAGCCTCTGTTGTAGTTGAAATAGTTGACAGAGATGATGCTGGTTCCCCAAGACACAACGAAGATCATGACAAGAGCTAGAATCACCTGAGGGTGGGGAAAAAAAAATCACAGAAAAATAAGTTTAGCATCTCTTCAGAGAGTTTGTTTCAGTCTCTTCAGACTTGCTGTCACCTTGGCTGCTCTTCTCTCTGCTGGGATCCGCTTCACGACAGCAGCGTCCTGCACGGAGCTCCTCATCTTACCGTGGGTGTAGAGCGTGTAGAGGGAGGTCACGTTGGTGACCATCATCAAGATGATGGGAAGTATTTCATGTATGGCCATAGATGTGGTGGCGTAGGTCAGGCCGGAGTAGTTGGAGGGAAACTTCCACACACAGCCCAGCAGGGGGCGCGTCGTGCTGCTGGTCAGCATCAGGCTCTGAGAAAAGAGCAGGAAACACCAGGAGCATGCATTTATTCTGCAAACTCCACAGATGAGCTCATTTATTTAAAAGGATAATATCACATCTGATGCAGAAGGATAATAATAATGAAAAATAATAATAAAAGGCTTTTTGTAGTTCGTTTAATTCATGAACATGCAGTTTGAATCATTAGTCATCTGCTGAAAATACAGATGGCCAGTTTCTTCGACATAAAAACTGCACCCCTGATGTTTTAAACACTAAACCATAAAGGGACAGTTCAGAGCTTTTGGACTGAGGTTCTACAGAATAGTTACGAACAATTAATACCTTATCTGTTGCTCAATGAACAACCTCAGATTAGAACGGGGTGTCCAAAGAGTTACTCAAGGGCCATTTGTGACCTTTCTTTGACATCTGTGCGTCCCACAACTGCTATTTAAGAATGGTATAAGTTTGGCCCACAGGCTTGAGGAGTTGATATAGATGTGGACCTTCTGCAAACTCAGTGATGAGATATGAAAAAAATCTTATGTCATCTTAGTATTAGGTACAATACAAAACTTTCACCACAAACATTTATGGACTTCTACCAAAAAGAAGACTTTTGAATAATCATTCATCAAAACTTACCATTGATTTAATAATTGATAGAGAAAAATTTGACATTTTTAAAGGAATATAAAGTGGTATATTCTACCCACAAGTTGGTCAACTTGATTACTGTCGCTTCAGACCTCCTGTAAATCTGTTTTAGCAACTATGTAGCTGTACAGTTTTTCAGTAATTTTGATCACCCATCCATGGTTCAAAAGGGTGATCGACCCCCCTTTTAGTGACTGTTTTTAAAGAAAATTTACTCATATTAAAAATATATATTATAATTTTTATAGTTAGATTAAATTCAGTGTTGTGCCCTGTCAGTACTTTTTTCTTGACAGTTTATGACCCACATATGAAAACATTTGGACACCCCTGGCGTATAAGAATTTGGTTTAATTCTAACTGGATTGATGAGCGAACCAAAGAGGATCACTGTGATGTTAGTGTCCAAACTAACACTTAGATCACAGTGAACAAAAGAGCAAACATAAGAGCAGAGGAGCAACACATAATTCACTAAACCTTTTCTCTGTGCTGTGAATAGACCACAAGTCAACCAGACAAAACCACACACGAGCCTCTGACCTCTGTAGTGTTTTCGTTGCCATTTGTGGAAAAGATGTAAGCAGGAATGGAGTAAAGGAGGTTGATGATCCACATGAAGCTCAGACTGAGCAGCAGGGTCATTTGAGAGCCCCACAGCCCCTGCAGGTTTCTTCCACTGGGAGCCACTCGCTTCAGAGTGTGGAGATGGAAAGCACTGAGGAACAGCGTGGACCACACGTTGACCGCTCGCAGCCACACCCAGATCCCCATCAGGAACTGGCACCACTTTTGGGTTGAATAGAGCTGTAACTGACAGAAAAGTTCATACAGTTCAACAAATTTAACATTGTTTTCTGCTTGGCTTTTCATGCAAGTCGTTCAGAGGCAACACTTAAAGGGGACAAGTTAAAATCTTATCTTAAATTAAAAAAAAAAACTTTTTGAAAAGCTGCAGTTCATTTTAAAGCCTTCATACATCGATCCCCAGATCTGAGATGATGAGCAGCACGTTCCTCATCACCGACACCATCAGGTTGGACAGGGCCAGGTTCAATATGATGATGTCCGAGTTGTGCCCCACACCACGGTCCATGATTACACTCTTCCCGATAACCCAGGTCACCATGACATTACCCACAATTCCCAACAGCACCAGAATGATGTAAAAGGAGCACTGTGCAGGGCACACCGAGATGCCAAGTCCCATCTCAGCAGGTTTGGTGCCGTTTTCCTGCTTCATCGTCTCATTTCAAAATCCAGATTTGAATCCGTTTTAAGAGCGAGCTCCAGCTTTTTTTTCCACACTCAGAGAGTAAAGTTCAGGAGTCCAGCATCTCTCCTAACTCCAGTTAAAGCAAACCAGTAAAGTGTTTGTCCTCTGTTTTTAAAACAGTTTTATTTTTTTTGTCTCAGAGCTCACACGACAATCCTGTCTGCGCCTCCTTCTGATAAACCAGTCTCTCTTCAGGTCACAGAAAACCTCATAGCATCAGTGTTTTCAGCTTGTGGGAGCTCAGGGTGTTTGTTAATGAAACACAAGAGATTAATCAACTTCCCTGATTGAAACGTGCTTGCTCTGCAGCTTGTCTTCTTGTACCCTATACCTAGAAGGACGTCAGGATCATTTTGTTTGTGTTCAGCAGATCAACAAACATCTGGGAGCTTGCAGGTCCACTTTATAATCAGCCAATAAATTATAAAAACCAAACCAAATGAATCATTTTACTGCAGCGGTGAAATAAATTGCTGTATTCATCTTATTTATAAGCATTAACTGACTGCAGTGGTGTCAAATTTAATAAACACCTTTTTTTCTTCTAAATTTCCACCTAATTTTGATGCCAGTATATTTGAAAATAAAATAAATACCATTAAATCAAGTCATGTAGAAGAATCCAAGAGTTTGTGTCTTGATTAGGACATGAAACTCTTCAGGTAAATATCCTCCATGAATCCCTCATTTGTACTGAAACCACTCAGAGTTTTGAATAAAAACTGAGCTCCTAAAGTGAAACATATTCAGTCATATTTATATCTGTAACACAACACAATGTCAGTAATGAAAGAAAGTAAATATTTTAAATGATTAACGGCTTTTATATCTAATTTAAAGCAGGAAATTCTTTATAAACCTTCATACCAGGAAGTGCGGTGGTCTGACCAGCCTGTTGTTGGACTTGGGGTGGAGAGAAGCTGCATATCTAGTTTCAGGCTGCAGGTCGCTCAGCTCCGCTCTGCTGGACTCACGTGGCAGAAGCTTCCTGATCTCAGGGTGGTTTGTACTCACAGAGTTCAAGTGCAGCTCATACCCGCTGTCCACAGTCAGAAAGGGACGCCACTGCAGCACAGCACTGCGGGAGGTAAGGTGGACCACGCTCAGCTGTTCTGCACAAACAATTCCTACAGACATGTGACGAGAAAGGACACAGGTCAAACAGTGTGCAGAGATGAAACAGGATTCTTATCTAACAGTTGGTGATAAACTCCAAACCGAATGTCCCATCCTGGTCCTCGAGGGCCACTGTCCTGCATGTTAGAGGTGTGTTAGAGCAGAGAAACATCTGAAACATGCAGGATAGTGGTCCTCGAGGACCAGGATTGAACACCGTTGCTCTAAACTACTTACACACTGACGATGGCCTCCCTCAGGTCTTCTGTGATGATGTCGATGCTATCGATGTCCACAGAGTAGAGGTGGGACTCTACAGGAGGTGTCACCACACGCTTTAACACCTGGTGGTTCCCATGCATCGTATAAACCACCAACACAGAAACTCCCCGAGCCTTCAGCTCTGACATTGGCTTTTCCACGGCTCCAGGCTGCACTCCGTCCGTCAGCCACAGCAGAAGCTTTGGCACATCCTGCCTCGTCTTTAACAGGAGCTGCTGGGCCACGTGTGTCGCCGTGTTGGTGTCTCCCTGCAGCTGGTTGACGCCTCGCAGGGCCTCCTGCAGACTCTCCTCCAGACTCTCCTGTTTGTCGTGGCCCTCCAGACTGAACTCCAGGTGAGGGCTGGTGCCGACCTGCAGCAGGGCCACTCTCACATGTCCACGGCCCAATGAAAAGGGACAAAGCAGATCGGCGGCGAAGAGCAGGAAACAGGAGAACTCAAAGTTTGTCACACTTCCTGAAGAGTCGAGCAACAGGAGAAGGTCTCCTTGACAGAAGTTCAACGCTACAGAACGAGAGAAGAAACAGGGAGTCGGTTTAATTTGCAGGTTGTTTCATGTACCAGATTATTAATTTATTGTCTATCATGCTTGAATATGATATCCAGCGTGTTGCTCAGAGTGCAGCACTCAGGAAAAACAATCTAAAACCCAAACAAGAAAATCTCTCACATGACTGGTTAAACAAATAACTATTAATAACCTCAGACAGTGAAGACATAATAGGCAGTTAAGTAAAATAATCCAACATACTGGATTTTAGACATACAGTTTTAAGAATAATGCAGATAAACCAACGAATCACCATGACTATAATAACGTCTGTGCCACATGAAGAGCATCACTGATTTTGGAGAAGGTTGATCCTATTACCGTCACAGCTGCAGTCCTTCAGGAGACATTCATATAAAGAGATAAAGGGAAATAACAGGAGGATGAGGAATTGTTTTTCACGCACGACTGAGATCAATCTCCTGTGCTGATCCAACAGCATCAACATGTGCCATAAAATATTGCACTGCAAGAGCTTTTTATGGAGCAACAGACCAGGATTTTCTTAAAGTGAGGGACCAAAAGAAATGGCCACAAAAGTCAGTTTGTCATATAAAAGTGCAGAAATATTTTAGAAAAAAAACCCTGTATTGTTTCAAAATACAGAAAGAAAATGTTAAATTAAACTCCCTTTCTTGTAGATATTCTTAAATGAATCATGCTATAAATTAAAGGATACGCTCAATTTTGATTTTCAAAGCCATTGCACTGAACAAATCTCTAAAAAACTAATAAAATTAAACTATTCAGGTAACAAGAAAATGAGTCACACCAGTAAATTTCTGTATAAAATGTCAAATATTCATCAACAAATACAAAATATTGACATGATTTTATTTTTTTCATTCATTCAACCTTTATTTAGACAGGTTAATCCCACTGAGCCTCGAGGACTCATTTACAAGAGAGACCTGATTTCTACAAAGAATGATGACAATAATTATTGTCACCTGTTGCTAGAAAAGGACAGTAATCGGGTAATTACAACTGTTTATGATGCTTTGTTTCTTTGTTTGTTTGCAAAACATTTCATAAAACACTGGACGGATTTGAATGAAACTCATTAATCTTTGGACACAACCAGATTCAAAATGGCCGCCGCAGCTGATCAACTTTAGCAAACACAGAAACGTCTCTAACTCAGTCATTTTTACAGATGCAGTAGTCCCTCGCTACTTTGCGGTTCGACTTTCGCGGGCTCGCTCTATCGTGGTTTTTCAACAACTATCAACTTTAATATTACTCATGTGATTGGGACGGTACAGATAAAGTTAATGGAAAAAATATATACTTCAGACAGGCGCCGCCGTTTTGTAGTTTTCTTTCAATAAGTCTATACTGTAACACCAGTCAAAAGAACTACACTACCCAGAAGCCAACAGTGCTTTCGACCGCTGCTTTCTGCCGAAATGGAGGGAAAGTTTTGCAACGCAAAATCAGAAGTAACAATCTATCTATTAATCTCACAGAACTGACAGGAAAGTTGCAAATAATTCTGAAGCTTCCTGAAGTTCAATTATCCACGTGCACATCAACCTGGACGGAGTAGTGGCTTCGTCGCTGCAGGGTAAGTCTGCCGAACCGGAACTGAGCCCGACCAGAACTGAGCTGCTGTTCTGCAGAGCTGGTGAGTAAAAGTTTGCAGTACTGTACAGTATATATACATATGTTATTAAAATGTCATAGGTTTAAAAGTTTAGAACATTGCAAGAGTGTGGGATCAGTTTATAAAGCCTTGAAATATATATAAATACATATAAATATTAAAATTAATATAGCATTCCTACTTGGCAATTTTTCACTTATCACGGTGGTGTGTGGAACGCAACACCCATGATAATCAAGGGGGTTACTATATGAAATATGATGATGTTGTAGCCAGGACCATTTCTCTACACACACTCCAGCTTCTAACAGATCTAGCAACATCCTTGTTTAAAACTTTTGCACGTCATGTGGCCAGATGACACGCTGTCCTTCGTAAAATGAAGCTTTTTTTAGTTTTTAAAATAATTCACGCAAAGAGTTGGAACCTTTGACACATCATACCTTTAAGTCTCCTTTTACATGTTTAACACTTCTCTGGCATCATGTGTAGCTTGATTTGAAAAACACACACCACGTTTTATTGTTGCAGAAGACTCTGTTAACACTACACTCCACGGACAAGCTGCACAAAAATGAATGGATTATCTCATTTGGTGCAAAAATCTTTGCCCATAGACTCTTGTTAAAAGTTGCACATGCACAGTAACTCCTTTTCGATACAAGAGAATAGGACCGTTCTGTGCGCACCTCTCCTGCGCCCAGAACTGAATGCACGATACGGATCGTGCTTCCGGAACAGATCGTGCAGTGACGCTCACAACAACCAGGCTATGTGTGAGAGGCTAGCTGCTGCAGGTAGGCTTTAAGCCTTTGAAAGCCCTTTATCTAATGCACATTTTGCCATTCCCGACTGATATGCCTCTCAACTTTTAGATGTCTCTGTTTGTGGAAAAAAAAATCTTCAGCTGACTGTGTATTCTAAAAGTGGGAACTGGTGAGTTTGTTTGTTCCTGGAGCTTGCATGCTAGCGCTGGCCTCCAGGTTATTGTATTGGGTTCTGTGATAAATCAGTGCTATTGCTACATTTATTTTAATATTATATGAAAAAATAATTATCAAACATGAATTCTTATTAAATATCACTGATGTATTGTTCTTCTATTTCTGAACACCTGCATTTGTATTGATCTGGATTATGAAAAATGAGTCTCTTTCAAGAAGTAACTAGCTCCTATTGAAGCATTTAAATTGAAGGTACATTGAAATGGTGAAATGTTATTTGCTAAGGTGCAATATTAGGACCTTTAATATTAGGAATATTTAAGAGTCCTCAAACAATGAGCTTGATTCTACATGTACTGCTTATATTTATGATGGTATTTGATATTGATAAAACCCAGGGTTATTGATTATTCAGTCTGCTTCACACAGGCCAGATTCATATATATATATAATATATATATATATTTTTTTGAGTTACAGTCCCCACTTAAGAAAACTCCACCAGCCGCCACTGGATGAACTGGGTAGAAGAAGAAGAATTAAAGGCGAGCTTTCTTATACAGTGCTGATAACGTGCAGAGTTCACAAGAGGGAAGATGAACATACAGATGATGGTCAAAGAGAAGAATCAGAGCTGCTGATTTGGATGTAGAGGAATTTTCTTATCTTTGCATTCCTCTGAGGAAAAAGGTGCAGGTGTACAAGAGATATGAGCCATCATCTGTCACCCGACATGGCTTCAGAACCACATGGCACTCTGTGGAGGAATGAAAAGTATGTTAATGTGTCCTGTGAAGTTTAAAGTCTGCTGACATCAAACAGACGGAGGATGGATTAATGTCAGTAAAGGACTTCTGGAGTGCTAATATGTTTTTAATCTTTTAAAGATTTCTTTCAACGAGGGACAAGCCACCATTTTATAAAAATAATTCCATGCCAACTAAATATATATATTTTTAATTTAAAGTAATGCTGATGTGAAGAGTTTTTATGTCAATGTATTTACTTTTCAAAGCGAGCATGTAAGGAGCACTACCTCTGCTAAAATTAAGGACAAAACTTTCTGTTTCTCATCTTCTCCAGTGGACGAGGAACTAAGGAAGGAAAATAGGAAACTTGGGGAAATGATGCGATTAACTAGTGACGATGTATGCAATCTCCATTTAATTTAAACATCAGTCTTTTCAGGTAGAAATGATTCATATCAGCAGCATCAGAGAGAACACACCTATTACATTTTGTTAAGACTCCACGTTAATACGATCACTGCCACTGATGGTGAAAGGGCGATAATGTACATCAACAACTGATTAACTATTAACCTTATTCAGTATGGCTGCCATAATCAACTATAGCAAACACATAAATGGCTATAATGGAGTTCATTTTACAGATATTGAGATTAAATTTGGTGTGATGGTGGCCGAGCAGTGGCGATTTTAGCATTTTTTGGGGGGTGTTCAAGTACCCCTAAATTATTTTTTTTGGGGGGGGGGTGGGGAACACCACACATTACCACATATTGTTCAAGTCAAGAGCCATTGTCAGCACTGGGGGCTAAGCACCCCTAAAGATCAGATTCTAGAATCGTCCTTGTAGCGGAGTCATCGTCAACACGAACTTGGAGAGATCTCACAATGTAAATGAGTTGACACGCAATATTATTTACAAAATTGGATCCAAGCTGCAATAGCTTCGCCCCATCTCAACATAAGCTGGTCTAAAACTCTGAAAGGCAGCTTGCGATATGTATCCTTCAAGGAAAGCTAGACCTTTAATATGTAAAAGTGTTGGGCTTTCCAAAATAAATCCTTTACACACCTCTCCTCTCTCAGTTTTACAGCTAAAGAAAATTTAAAAGCACGTAAAAACAAAGAAGATGTGTGGAAATGTTTACTCACATAATGTTGCGTGTATGTTTTTATTATTAAAACCCATAGAGCTTATAATCATTAATAATATATACACTAATAAAATGTCATGCATTTTGGTTGTTGTGTGCATCCTAATACATGAGTGTATGCATTTATGCACATTTTGAATCTACAATGTAAAAATAAATCCTTCTGTGTCAAGTGTAACTGTGCATAAACGTTAAAGAACGCAAGTACTTCAGTGTATTTGTATTGTAAATGAGTTATTCATTAAGAGAAAGAAAATTAGTGCCTGTAGAGGATACTTCAAGTCATGATGGTCATTACAGATAATTACACTGATTAAATCATGAACTACTCCCCTTAATTAAAGACAATTAAACACTGTTGTGTAATTAAACTCCACGTGGCGGCTGGAGTCAAACCAAATATTAAACTTGTTCAAAGTAGGCTGAGAGGAAATGATCGTGATCTTGTTTCGTCTTACACAATCTGATCATTTTGCATTTACTGACTCAATATTTACCCAAAGTCTAAATATTTTACCCAGCAGGAAGGAGGAAAACTCTCAAATGACTCAAAAGTTTGTTAAATGTTGCTTCTAAGGAGCAAAACTTTCTAAGCACTCATATGACTTCTTTTAAAGTTATAAACTTTTTTTTTTTTACTTTGAACAAACTTTTGCATAACTGTTTAAGATGATTTTTAATCTTAGTTGTTTAAAACTGACGTATATGAAACATTAAAATATATATATATTTAAAAATCATACCTGCTTTATCTGCCCATAATGTTATAAAGAAAAAAAAGTCTTATTTCAATCTAGAAACACAAATAAGAAAAGAGACATTTTCACATTATTTTATGGAATTTTCAAAGAACCAGATAAAACAGGACTTCATAATAATTAAAACTAAAATACGACACTGGGAAGAAAAAAAAAAGTAAACTGGAAATGAAGGTCATGTCTTTAGGAAATAAAAAAACAAAGTCCTAATTAGAACTAGAAGACTTCAAAAAAATATTTTAAAATTAAAAAAGTGAAACTGAGAAAAGACTAAAACTTGTCAAATTTGACAATTAAACTGAGCGTCAGAGGCAACGGCTTTTTTATGTTCATCACAGGGAAGGAAACATAAAAAAATCCAACCAAAACCTGACTAAGATTTATAGAAATTTTCTGAGAGTTTCGTGAAAATTCATCCAGTGGTTCATGAGATATTTTACTAACAGACAGATGAAATTCACACATGCTGACAAGGGCAAAACATTATTAAATTTGATGGCAGACAATAAACATTAAAAGAGTGGTTAGAATTTAAAATTTTACTTCTAACCTACAAAGCTGTCAACAACCTAGCTCCATCTTATATTAAAGATCTTATTGTTCCATATTTTCCTAACAGAGCACTTCGCTCTCAGGCTGCAGGTTTACTTGTGGTTCCTAGAATTTACAAAAACAGAATGGAGGCAAATCTTTCAGTTATCAGGCTCCTCTCTTGTGGAACTAACTTCCAATCTCTGTCTGTGAGGCTGACACATTGTCCAGTTTTAAAACTGGGCTTAAGACTTTCCTTTTTGCTAAATCCTATAGTTAGGGTCGGCTTGGGTTTCCTGAGCTGTCCCTTAGTTATGCTGCTATAGGCTTAGACTGCTGGAGGACAAACTGACCACACTTTTCACTCTACTACTGTCTTTATTTACTCTGCTCAACCTGTTTTGTATTTGTAATTATTTTTTCTATCCTTAACATGTGTTTTTTTTGTCCTTCAGATACACCTGGACCTACCATTCTGTGTTCGTCTCTCCTTCGTGTCCTCTCAAGCAGCCGGTCAAAGCAGATGGCCGCTTGTCCTGAGTCTGGTTCTGCTGGAGGTTTCTTCCTTTTAAAAGGGAGTTTTTCCTTTCCACTGTTGCCACTGTGCTTGCTCAGGATGGGAGACTGCAACGAAGCCAAGATTCAACTTGTCTGCTGGATTCCTTAGATAGAGAACTTTACCAATTGGCTTTTATGTATGTGAATGTTCCTGTAAAGTGCCCTCAGAGAAGGAAACCGCCTTTCATCTTCCCCAACAGCATTAAAAACGCTCGTAAACCCGATCAGAAGCTCGTCAGGAGGGAGACACAGCAACAAGAAGAATCTGGATTAAAAAACTCACTGACAATAATTGTTTTTTAAGCAGTTCTTGTGTCAGGCAGCATGTTCTGCTTTCATGACTGAACCCAGATCAGTTTCCAGTCCGGATCACTCCTCTCTCAGCTGCAGGCTCAAGACACCCACTTATCACCCGCCAAAATGATTTTACTTACCGGTATGTCTGCTCATTTGTTTGCCTGTTAGCAAAATATCTCATGACGGGTTTTAAAGAAACGTTCAGAAAATAATCCCTGAATGTAAACCTACAACTGATAAGCATCTGGAGTCAATCTGATAAAGATGGCCGCCACAGCAACGTGACCTTAGCAAACAGTAGCTCAGTATTGAACATATTAAGCTAAAACTTGGTGTGGTAGTAGCTGAGAGTCACTCCAAATACTGCAAGAGTTAACAGATTATATTATAGCAATGTACACAATCTTATTGCCAAGGTTTGACCAAACATGGCTACAACTCTGTCAATTCTCAAGATGATGGAGATTTCAAGGCACAAGCCTTTAATGTCTTTTTATTTGAACGGAATAATTAGTTTATGACTGTAAGCTCTCACCATCTGCACTGGAGCTTTGTGTTGTCTGTAAGCCCACACAATACCATTAAAACAAACACAATCATAAGTCTAAAATGGCTTTAATAATCACATATTTATATTTCTCCTGCACACTATTCAGTCCTAGAGGTTTTGATCTCTGTTTTCTCAAAGAAACCCCCTGAATTTGAACCTTGCTGGATTCCAAACGTGGAAAAAACGGGCAAGACTTTCATTTAGAGCAGAGCAAACACCCATGCTGTCCATTAGACTTCTAACAGCTGATTACTGCACCTTACCCCTGCTTCTGTTTCTAGATAAAGATGAACCACTAAATAACTGATCCGCTCTGATTCTGATCCGCTCTGATTCTGATTCTGCCGGGAGACAATCTGATCCAAACGGTCAGCACTGTGAGCCTGTTCTGACTCAGCATCCACACAACTGAACGTTGATTCACACTTTATATTTGACATAATTCTGACTTTGCATTCACATATTTATCTTCCAGCTCGGTGTGTTGTTGTGGGCAGTGCTGCTAAACAGCTGCTTTATGGACACCATATTGTTTAGCTCTGTCTGTACAAAGAGTTATTAACTCTACATTAACGTGCTGCCACCTTCCTCTGCCTCCGCTGCACAATTAACAGGATTTGTAGTCCAATAACGCTCGCAAAGGCCGCACACTAAGCTGTAGGAACGCTTTTATCATGAGCTGTTTAGTGAGCGCAGAGAAAGTCCTCAAGGACAACTTTGAAATGAAACATTAATAAATTATTTTCAAGTATTGATTGGAAGGAATCACCTCAAAGTGCAAATTTAATTATGATGACGACTTCCTTCCTCCTGTCTAATAATTCGGCGCGTGTTCAGGCGTGTTAGCGTCACCATCGCTGAGAGATACAAAACTGGAGTTTTCCATCAAAGTGAGTTTGCAAAAGAAAACAGAAGAAGTTTTGAATTCATGGATAAAAGTCTCCGTTGGAATAAGATGAGAGTTTATGAGTTTAGAGACATGTGTTCAAGTGCCTGTGAGAGTTTTTGTGCTTTTATTTGAGCACCCAGAAAAGACGGCTGAAGATTTCTAAGATTAAAATACAACAATAAATAAATGAATGAATGATAAATAAATAAAAGCCTTTATGGAATGCATGTACTGCCTATTACGTCAAAG